ATATATATATATATATATATATATATATATATATATATATATATATATATTACAGCTCCATAGAATAATCCTGTTTTACAAAAAGCACTGTAAAAAGAATATAAATTTAACATAATCTTTACTGCAATATCTTCTCCGTGTAGTTTTTGCGATCATTCAGTTGCAATAACTACAAGATAGTTTATTAAATACATAGTGCATATAGTTTACTATATACATTAAATGTACATACAAAACTCGTATAGTTATCACCTGCACAGTTACCACCGCCATGTCTTTTCCTCTGTATGTGCAAAAATGGCATAACAGCCGGCTAAACGACGAGACTGATTTATATACTGATCCATATACCCATCGACAGCTGCGATTACATTCTCTTACAGTTAGGGTCATTGGAAAAAGGTCCCGTCGGTCCAGTTTGCCGCATTAGATCTGCCCGCGAATGGGATCTACCACTCGAATCGCTCTCGACGAGAAGACACGCATCTATAGTGCATAGTAATGGCCAAGCCTACGCCCATCGTACATGGAATTATATACCGTTATATTATTTATACCGCGGTTATACATTTTGCCTACGCGCCAACCACGTCACTGACTTTGACATGACCGTCCGATAACCGTATCGTGGTTAATATTCGCGCAGTCAATAAAATATAGATACATCGATTTTTAATATACATTTTTTAATGTTTAAAGAAAAATGAAAAATGTGTTAATTATTAGAATTATTAAGTACGTATCTATATTTCTCCATTTCTATTTTATAATACTTTTTATGTACGAGTGGATTTGTACCTTTCCACGATGCCTTGATCTATCAATCCGATCAATTCAAAGATAAGAACATTAATCCAATTAGTCCAGGGAATGCTCCAATACTAATTGATTGAATGACTTGACCACAAATCTGACTGATTGTCGTGCATCTTGCATTTTCGAGTTCTGCGATCATATCTATCTTGTTGAAGCTTATCGGAGTTTATATTTAAATATATAGTAAGTATACATAGTAAGCACAGTATTGGCACAATTCTGGAGCAACTATAACTAAACAAATGTTAACGCAAAGATTTTCATAAAAAAATGATGCATCGTATAATGAATGGGTGCAACAATAAATTATCAAGAAAATCAAGGCAACAAGAAGAATTATAGAAAAGGAACAAAAAATATAATTTTTTATGTACATAAAAATAGAATATTAATTTTAAGTTTTTCATGAAATATTTTGATTACAAATATAAAACTTTACCTATTTACTTTTAATATTTTCAATATTCAATATATTTTCTTTAACTTACATAGCTAAAAGAAGAAGACCTGCTTTACAACTATATACTTTAACCATACACACTGATCCATTCTTTATTTCTACCTATCTAATTACTAATATCTTTGTTACCTTGCTCTAATTGTAATTACCTTTCTCTAATTATATAACACAAAATTCAACATTATGTTGTTTGCATTTCTGAAAGGGAGATTTAATGGATCTCCATAAAAATACATATACATTTAAAATATAAAAGGATTAAATATTAATCCCTTAGGAAAAATTACTTTAAGTTATTCAAATTAACTTAAAGTTGATTAAAGTTACTTAAAGTTATTTATAGTTAACTATAACTTTAAGCAACTTTAAGTTAATTTGAACATCTTAAAGTAATTTTTCCTAAGGGATAATACAATTCTTTCTCGGAAAAAAAAGTTTATATATGAATTTTGTCCATATATGGTTATATATGATCATATATAATTATATATGTCGACATTAAAAACAATACTATTGTGAAGATACAATTGAAGTAAATACTTATGTTTATGGTAGCCCATGATATCGACGTTTATTCGAATTAAATTATGTTTTTCTTTTTTTATTTGACAATTTTCGTTTTATATATGAACATATAGAATAAAGACATCAAAATCGATATATCACTTTGTTTTTTGGCGTTATGCCTTAATATAAAGCTCAAAATATAAATGTAAATATATATACATGTAGTTGGAAATATCTCCTATCAGATAATATCACATTTTTACTGGAATTGTTTCTAGATTTAAAACAAAAAATGTTTTTGTAAAACGCACGAAAATGGAATTCAAAGAAAATAGGTGCCAAAAGCGACATACCTATTGGAATTTATATAATATATCGCATATATGATAATATTTGATAATAAATAGTTTATTAATACGTTTAATGGTTGAATAATATTCATTTATTCAAAATATAATGTTACAAAAGGGAAATATAATTAAATAAATATATATCTTTCTCCATTTTTTTCATTTTTTCACATATTTTACATATATTTTTAAACTAAATAAAATTAAACTTTAAAATAAACAAATGTCACATCACAATGGGAAGTATAATTAGATATGATCATATATAAAGTCACATTTATGGACAAAATTCATATATAATCTTTAGAGAAAGAAATAAGAACTCGCAAAACGAAGATATCAATCAAAAAATAGGAAAAAGGGCAATTCGAGTTCAAGCACAGGACTAATAGTGCTATATACCATATGGGTAAAAAACCTTCCTTGTGTTAGGAAATCGTGTAATATTTATTGAACATGAATAATCAATTTAAAACAATCATGTTTCGGTTTAACCATGAACCCTTTTCAGTGATAATAAAACTCAAGGTTTACGACACGAACGCATTACAATTAATAAAAGACCGTTACCGAAATAATATTAAGTAATAAATTAATATTGATAAGTAGCCGTCATAACTATAAAAAACATAAAATAAAATAAAAATAAGTAAAATTGAAATATAATAAATAAAACTAACAATAAAATACCTTTGTTGAGTTCAGCTAAAAGTAAACCGATCCTGTAAACGATAACATCGCCACGTCGCCATTAACATTGCGGAAACGACTTGTGGAAGAGAAAGAAACCAAAACAAAGTTTATTTTCATAACAAGCCGCAGTAGCTGGTGCCCAAATATTCGGTATCCTTTTGTGAGTTAAGACCTTGCTTCTGCAATTTGATGAAAATCATTTTTGAGATCAGGCGTTTTAAGTAAAAGCGTTCCTCATGTAAAACTTTTACATTGATTGAGATCATGTCAAAGTTTTACATGAGGAACGCTTTTACTTAAAACGCCTGATCTCAGAAATGATTTTCATCAAATTGCAGAAGCAAGGTCTTA